AGGCTCTCCAGCTGCCGGGCCAGCAGGACATTGCGAAGCATCTTCAGAGCATCAGCCACGATGCCCACGTACTCCCGGGCCGACAGCAGCTTGGGGGTGGCAGGTGCCCTCAGCGGGGGGAAGCCCAGGGGGACCTCCTCGCGGGCGCTGGTGAAGGCAGGGTGCTGAGCTAGACCATCCTGTGGCACTGTGTCATCGTAGAAGCCCAGCACCAGGGTGTTGGGGCGCATCCCACCTACCAGAGAGACCGTATCAGCCCAGCTGAGCGGAGGTTGAGGGCCCCACCATCCCAACACTGCAGATGCCAACAAGCCCCGGCTTGGCTTTGGCATTTCTCACCCAGGTGATTCTAGATCCCTCAGCATCATGCACCCAGATGTCTCCAAGACCCAACTTGGCTTTGGCATTGTCCACACCAGGTGCTTCCACACCACTTAGCATTGTCCATCCAGGTGTCTCCAAACCCCTGGGCACTTCTCACTCTGCAGGGGTGGCAGGGTGGACCCTCACCCATACCCGACCCAGGTGCCACTCACCAAGGCCAGAGGTAAAGAGGAGCTGCCGGACACCATGCCGCACTGAGGGCGCAAGAGTGAGGCTGACGAAGGCTTTGACGTTCAGCTTGTCCACCAAGCTCAGCCACGAGTCCTGCTGGGGCTGCAGTGGGTCTGAGGGCAGCGTGTCTGGGTGGGGGTGACAATGGCATCAGGGGGTTGGGTACTCCATACTAGGGGGTCACCCTGGTATCCTCACAGCACCCTCCCTGCAAAACCAATGCCAATCCCTGCACCCATGAGACAGGGAGGGTGGAAGCAGATGCTTCCAGCCAGAGATATGAAATTATACATAAATATATAAAAAAAAAATCCAGGCAGCCCCCTCCCCCCTCCCCAATTTCAGGCCATTAGTCACCACGGCAACGGCAAGGGGGGAGTAGAGCCTGTGCATCCTCTGGGGGCAGGGACGGGGACCACCATGGTGTGTGCCAGGGAGCACGCATGTGCAAACCAACAGGCAGCAGGGTGTAAACACATCTGAAGCACATGGACGCCCAGCAGCAGGCAGGAGGTGAGGATGGATACAGGCACACACATGTGCACACACATGTGCACAGGAGGCGTGGGGACAGACACAAGCCACTTACATTCCCCATACCAAGCCAAGCCCAAGGTGCCACACACGTGCCCAAAATACTGACGTTCTCCCGCTGTGCCCACCCTACCCAGCTGGGAGCTGGGCAGCAGCATCACCCTAAGGACTTCGGGAGCCCCCCAGCACCACAGCAAGGGGCAGAGGCCAGCAGTGCCAGCGACAGTGCAGACGCTCACCCAAGTCCTGCAGCTCGACGTGGCCCAGGACATAGAGGCCACTCTTCTTGAGGTCATTGACGAAGTCAATGAGGCGGGCGCTGCCCCGTGGGTTCTGCACCATCAGTAGCATCTGCGGGCGCCAAAACTTGACGTGGTCCTTCCTCACGTCCAGCATCAGCAGGTACTTCCGCACCTGGAGCGAGAGAGGGCAGCAGGTGAGGAACCCTCCTGCCTTCAGTGAACCACCCCATGGGATGTCAGCCCCGAGGACACACTGCCCAGGACAGAGCTGCCACGGGGACACCAGCTTGGGGACACCAGCTCTCCACCCCATGAAGGGGCAGTGGAGGAGGACAGGGCTCACCTGGTGGAAGATGAGGGCCTGGCTGATGTAGCCCCAGGTGCTGCTGGGTGAGAGGTAGTGGAGGGCGAGGAGGAGGAGGAGGAGGAAGCCCAGGCTTGCCGAGGCGGACACGGGGCTGATGAGGAACATCATGACACAGCAGCCTGCGATGCCCAGCAGGCATGTGTGCCAGGTGAAGTACCGGAAGGTGGGCCTGGAGCAGAGAGAAGGAGACACCCGCTACTGCGTGGCCCCCAAGCTGCAGAGCAGGTATGGTAATAGGAGCTGTGCCAAGGTGTCAACTGGCCACCCCCAGCTAACCCTGCATGCTAGCCCAGGGCATGTCACA